TAATTAAATGCAATGTCCAGAAAAGAATAGAGAAGTAGCTGCGCGGCTGAAGGTGACGCTGAAGTTCCTGAACTGACCAGTGAGAGCATCAAGAAATTACGCTAAGAAGAGAGCACTTTTATCAGTGCGCTGCCGAGCAGCACATTAAGCTCATTGGCATTTGCAAATAGATACTGCTTTTTATCTGGATTGTTTGCTTACTGTATAATACAATAAGCAAACATTCTAGCCAAAAATACTGCCATTTTTTGACAACAAATCAAAGATTACCGCCTCTGTATCACATTCTGAACTGTAGCAACGTGCACTTGCCTTACTGACATTTGCCCTTCACATTTGCCTTACTGACATTTGCCCTGTGCGTAGAACATAGCACATTCTGGTATACACTAGATCACAGTAGATCAGAGTGCATTCTTCGGGAGAAATGAATCAGTCCCGTGCACCGTGTAACTTGCACCGACCCACTTCTTTCTGTTGCCTTACCATGTATGAGGATGTTGCGATCCTCTCGCTTCGCTCGCTATATCTTTGTCGAAAATTTGTGTTTGTCGCATTGCTTTGTGAGGAAAAACAAATAGTTTATATAGTTGCGTATTTCTTGCAAAGCGCTTTCTGGAATTGCAGCTACTCTTGGCACTTGCGAGGCTTGCCGGCTAAAGTACGATTCTCAACGTCATAGTCGTTTTGTTTCACTGAGAAATAGGCTAGCTTTTTTGTCTTTCCTACAGTTTCTTTAAAAAGTGGTCCATTTTATAATTCTTTCAGTACTGAGCTAACCCTTACGCTGACCTTTATGCTGACCCTAAGTCTGTCTTCGAGATTTACCTCCGTCCATTGCAATAAAAGATTAGCACTAAGATAATGAAAGTTCTCACTGGTGCATTTCTTTCGATGCTTTCAATATGAAACGGTATGGGCTGCCAGTTCTCGCCATCCAGCCACTGAACATTGGCGTTTTCGACCGGGAACAACCCATAAAGCATAGCTTGCGCACTGACAATGGCGCGGTCCGATTCCGATGTCATGACCCGTACCTGTACAATGAATAATTTCACTATGCATATTTTGTGTGGACTGCAGTGAAACAAGTGATTCATCTGTCAATATTGCCCTGGAATATTGCTTGAGTGAAGTTTATATAAACTTCCTAATATCCTGCTTCCTACAAGTGGTAAGCGCGTATCGTTTTGCTGGTGGTCACGCGCTGATAGGACAATGAAAAGAATTCTCCAAGATTGATCCGAGCTGCAGGTAGACTGACGCTCCGGCTAAATGAAAATCATCACTACCACTTTCCCCCTCCCCTCCTCATACTTACATCATTTGGATCAAATTCGCCAATATAATTGTTGTAACGTTTGCGAAAGTATCGTCCCAGTTCGTACAATTGTTTGATTCCAGTCTGCAACGCATCCTTCAAGGTAATTATTGCTACCGTGCGATGTAAATCCTTTTTAAATGGAATTTAGCAGATTATATCTGAGTCATAATCCCTCAGGCACATGATTCAGTCTAACAGACAAATGAAACTGTAAAGCATTAAAATAGTAAGATCTGCTTAAGCGATTTTTGGGAATGGATTTTCCGAATTGAATATTTCACTGGGATAAGATTCAACACTCTATATTTTACAGGTTCCTTGATGTTCTAATTTACCTCCCCATACCTTTTTTCTTCATTTTCTTTCATATCAATATTAATTTCATAATATTAACAAATTTTTTTCAAATATGCTCATTCTGTCACACATCTTTTTTTTCCGTCACATTAGCCATTAACTTTGTTTTTAAAAACATTAAAAAGCCATTTTTAATGTTTTTAAAACATTAACACTAAAGTTTTTAAATTTTCGTTAAATTTTAAATTAAATTAAATTAGTATCAATATTTTAAGTTAAAGTTAATTTAATTAACTAATTATTAAATTAAAATTAATATTAATTAATATTAAACTAAATATTAAAGTTAAATTAAAAATTTAAATTATTTAAAACAAAAATAAAAAAATAAAAAACATAAAAACATTAAAAAAGTTTTTAAAAGCCATTAAAAAAAACATTCTGTCACACACAAATACACGCATCCCTTAGCCATTAACTTTGTTTTGTACAATTTGCACTTTCACCCTATTCTACTTTGCCCACATCTAGTTCATTACTTCACTTAACAAATTATTTCCTTATTTTTTTTACGTTAAACCTCATATTTATTCCTTCTGGGATATTTTTACTTTTTTAGCTATCAACACTATACTTTTAGTCCATTAATTTCTTTTATTGTTATTATTAATTACGTAAATGTTAGTGCATTGCTCTCTTATAACAGCAGCGAAGCGCGGGGAGGAAAGGGCAAGCTGCAGCAAGGAGAGGAACTTCATACTAATAGTTCCGAGGAGCTTGGCGACTGAAATGGTAATTCGTAGTTAACTCTGTGTGAGAGGGAAATTAGCCCAAGTGGAAACATTCGCCAGCAGCAACCATCTTTCTACCGATGATTTTCTCCCCTAGGCTTGGTTAGAAGCAGAGCTGATGGCGGATGAGCCTCCTTGGCGTGCACCTGTGTCAGTGAAGGAATGGTTTTAGAGTCTGTTGATTAGCGTAAAAGAATGGAATGAATCATGACACTCTTGATTTGGAGTAGTGCGTTTAGAACTTTTAGAGCAATATGACGAAATGAAACCAAACATTTGTGAGTTGTGACCATCCTCTTGGCCATGCGCTTTCATTATTGCGATCATTTGGATACGGTAGTCGATGCGGAGCACGATCGCCGTGTCTCCAGACAGCTTGCACATAAATAAGACGCTGCTGTTCTGGCGATGGTACTATTTCTGTCGTCGAAACCGGACTGCTCAGCGCACTATTCGACAGCAAAAAGCAACACAGTGAGATGAGGAAATGCCACCGGACTGGCATTGTACTGATGAAACAAATGAAGAATTTAGCAGGTCGCATCCTCTATTACGTGCCTTTCTGGCACGCGCCAAGAAATACGTGTTGCTACGAATGAAATAACTGACGCAGTAGATAGATATCTGCAATAAAATTCCGGGAATGTTTCAGCGGAATCACAAAAGCACTTACAGTAGATGCAAGGAATATCCCCTCCTACAAACTCATAATTATTTGTAAGAGGAAATTTCTAAGTGGAGACAAAATGAGATCCACTGGTTTTTTGTCTGAATAATCAGAGTCTGAAAAATAAATACAGAACTAAGAGATAAGTCGAATGAGCAGCAGCAGTAGCAACTGATGCAAGCATCGGGATGACCAGTGCGACATCCTACCGCACCGGGGAAGGCGCCATACTGATATGGAACAGCGATATAAATTTACACTTTTCATTTCAAAAAACAAGAAGTACTTTGCTTTTTCATTTCATTTTATTAATATTTATGATCTTATCGATAATTTTATTAAAACGACAAAAAGGGTGTTCACTGAAGAAAGCAGGAAAGCAAACGCTGGCGACGATGAAAAGAATAATTAGTATAAGGGATGTCTGCTCGCCCAGGCTATTAAATCAGTAGTTCTCATTTTTACCCCAGTGATCTGCTAATGTATCCTCAACGTGCTTTTTTTTTCAAGAAAAGAAGTACGTTTTTCCTGTATTAAAATAAATTCTGTATCCTTTTTTTTGGAAAAATCCGGGTGCCATTAAGAACCGGTTATGGTGCATTTTTAACTGGAACACGTTTTGATCATCCAGCAGTATCCCTTCGTTTACTGGTAATAAAATTAAATCAAAGGCCAAAACTTCCTCCACCCACTTTACTCTGCATGAGAGGCACGGAGGCAACCAGAAGTAGCCTCGAGTGGTAGCCAACAGTAGCAGCAGCAGTAAGCGCCCATAAGTGAGGCCATCAGTAATGGTAGCCTGTACTGAGAGCTAATTGAGAAGCGGTCTGGGGCTTGCGCTACATTTGTCCACCACACCGATAGAATAGTAACGGAAGAACCAAATGAAACATGATCTATACGTAAAAAAGCTGATGGCATTCCAGCAACAAATTGGAGTGAGATTCGCTGCGGATCATCATAATTTGCGCTGTCGATCGTCTCGCGCCGCCCTAATCGCTCTTTTGTAATGCTAATCCTTTTTTGCCACTTTTCCTGACTTTTTTACTATGCCGAGTTAACTTATTTTTTTTTTTTTTTTT